CTTGAGCTTTGGCTTTAATTTCTTCTATGCCACCAATACTGTTCTCCCAAATGCTTTTCCCTAAGTCATTATTCAGTCTTGAATCCTGCAGAATTGATGTCATGCTTGGCTACTTGCTTTCTCCTTCTCTTCATTGGCTTTCTGTTCACAAATACTACTACACTAAAACAATACAGCAATGCAGCTTCCCATTCATGTGCTGTCAATGACATAGAGTCTTTATTTTCTCTGTTATTCCTTTACTTTGTATTAATCTTCTTTACCTATCATCCAGCCTCAACTCAACTTTGTCCCCTCCACCTATTTCCAGATTTCAGATATTTTCTCTTTCATCTCCAACACTTGGCGAGAGTTCTTTTCTATTATATATGCTACCTCAAAAACCTTCTGTTGGTTAATGCTCTTTCTAATCTCTTGTGTCTCATCTTTGTCTTGCAAATGTAGTACTTTGTTTGTTGTAGTTATTCTAACCCAGCATTTTGGATCAAAGAACTATATAATTTAAAATAAGATGTCCTGACAATGTGAAACAAACCCCACTTGAAGAAGTGCTATCTTAAGATCACATGTAGACTAGTAACATCTACTTACATGGGTATTTCCTGCTTGTTTAGCCCTTAGAAACCTAAACACAGATGTGAGGTGCCCAACTGCTGTTTCTCAGACTTGAGGTTCAGTTGTATCCAATCCTGGTTTTGGATTGATAAATTAAAAAAAAGCAAACCCTCTGATACTTGTAAAATACAAATCCTAGCAGAACCCCATAAGGGTAATTTTTTTATCACTGTCCCAATCTTAAGGATTTCCTGGCCAGTTTTTATGTGATGCATCATCCCCGGCCAGAAAGTATCCACACCATCTTATACCTTTCCCTGCAAATTACTGCAAGGAAGGCTGATAGGAATGGTTTTGTCAGGAGATAGAAATCTCCAGCAGTCTCTGATGTGGGAGACAGTCACATCCCATGACTAATCTTTCCATAGGTCACAGGCCAGCTCACCCTTAGACTTATTTGCATTCAGACACTCTCAGCAATATCCTGTTTTCTAATTTAGGAAGTACTGATGATTATACATGGAGTTTGGCTCATTGGAATTCCTTTCCTCTCCACTCTCCATTACATTGACAATTCATCTCCATGCATGTGTGAAGGGAGGATGAAAATTTTTCTCTCTCAAAAGAGAGAAAATGCCATTGTTTGCACTGATGTCTGCTCCACAAATAACTATAAGAGAATGTGCTAGGGTTGAATTACCATGCCAGTCCTGGTTGCTCCTTCTTTAGATATTTTTACTGCACCCTCACACTGGCAGTGTGGTTTTCCCAAACCTCCAGCTCACCTTTTCCTCCTGTTTACAGGCCCAGCTGCTATTTCTTCCCTGAGGGGCTTCTTTGCTGAATTCTGACAATCAGTCCCACCACTGCTCTTAGCTCCTTTACACACCCTTAATTTTAAATGCCCCAGCTTGCTTTGAGTTCAGTCAAATATTTTCATTTCCCTTTCTATACAGACAGTGTTTTTCCTTTTCCCTTCCAGATTAAATTCTCTCCCACACAGATGATTGTTTTTCCCTCTCCAAAGGTCATCCAGAAGGTGGTTTCATAACCAGTTTGACCACTGATGGGCCTTATAGTGCTCTTGCAGATGAGATGTGGAACAGTAATGTGGAAGATGCACCAAGTGAAATGTGGAGTCTGATGGTCCCTGGGCTTTCCAGCAAAGTAAAACCCCAAGATAGGATTGTTCCCAATCTAGCAAGCTGCTATCAGCCTGCATTGCTTGCAGCCCAGCCTGGCTCATCACGCAGCAGCGAGGAACAGCAGCCAGCGTCTGGCTGGTCAGCCTTACATATGAATGAAAGGAATGCAGCCTCCTTCCGCTGCCTTCCCCCCCACCCGCTCCCAGTCCAAGGTTTCTTGTTTTCATGCACTGCAGTGAATCCCTTTGATCCAGCAAGTGGACTTTGCACGTGCAAGCAGAGTGACCAGCCCACATCTGCCTCTCTGCCTGTGAACCCCACACTGGGAGCTCTTTGTCTGCCAGGGCACTCACATGAGTTTCACAGAGCCCACACTGGCAGACTGCTCTCGCATGACACACTAACAAACCACCAGCCAAAGGAAAATATCTTGCAACCATTTCAGACCCTCTGGCTCAGCCACTGACTAAGCCAAGTGGCTACTAGCCATTGGCTCTGCTGGGTGCATTTGCAACCCGCAGCACACTCAGTTCAGGCATGAAAAAAACAAAGCACCCATGGAGAAGAGGGCTCCTTGTCCCATGCCCTGAAGGGTGCATGGGAACGGACACAGCTGACATTTATAATTCAGTCCCAAATATCCATAGCTACTCCTCTCTGTCCCATGTTTTTACCAAAGGCAGGAGTTTGCTGTAGGGAACCCCACTGAAGAGGTCAGTGTGAATACATAGATGTCTTGATTGTACCAGCTCTCATTTAAGACATCCAACGGTCAGTGTGTTTTTAGGGAACAGAGCTTGCAAGCATTATGAAGGAGTCTGAATGACTTTGTGCTCCAGACTCAAATAAGCTGTTTAGGTAAGCCTATCACACTCCTTCCCTCAATTTACTCAGGTTGCTCCCAGGATGTAAATGTTCACAAGTATTTAGACAACCTGCTTTCCACAGACAAAATGACAGACAGGTTTCCTGCTCCCAGGTTCTGCATCAAAGATGTGTTTTAACAACAAGGCTGCAGTCAGTCCTCATCACAAAGGGTAACCATGCTTTCTACAAAGCTGTGCACAGCTAGGACATGGGCAGGGGCAGAGTGGTTTTATAGCTGTTAGGACAGGAGAGATCATCATTCCAAGCTTGTATTCCCTCTTGTTTTTTACCTTCCTGCTTTCCTAACAGCCTAAGCTACCTGCTCAGGACATGGTGAATGGAAACAGAAACACTCCCATAATTTAGGGCTGTTTAAGACAGTTTAACTGGCAGGATCAGAGGAGTAGCTGATCCCACCAGGTGAGGTGCTGGGAATGGGCTCTGTACCCAGGCAGCTGCAGTCTCATCATCTGATAAAGGTCTTCCCCACCTGCCAGCGAAGGCAGATGTGCCTTTCTCACCACATCAAGCACTGCTGTGGATGGGCAGGCTCAGCAGTCATGGTGCCACATATAATCCAAGGCTATTCAACAGCAAGATCACAGGGCCAGTGAGAAACATTTATCATTGTGGATTAATTGTAAAATGCAAGATTTCATAGGGTAATGTAATGTTGGAGGGGAAAGGTTTTGGTCTCAGAAAATTCAACCAGGCCTAGGGCTGGGTTCAAAAGCATACAAACTCTTACAAGATTTTGAGACCAAAGGGTAAAGGTGCTGACAGATTAGAAGTTTTTTTAAGTGCTCCTCATGATTCCTTGTCCATATCCCTATCTGCATGACAACACCAGGAAAACTTCACAAGTTCACCCTTTCCATGCTACTGTGTCATATCCCTGACAAACCTCAGGAAAAGCTGTGTAAGACCCATCACTTCCAGCTTCAGCACAAACATGGGGGTCATATCTGAACAGACAAGATCACTGGGTCAACAGCTCTCACACTCTTCATTTGTACTTTGGTGGCAGCTCCATCGCCTGCTGGAAGACCTTGGCTGGGATGTCCCACTGGCCAGCCCCAGCAGGGAGCAGCCCTCACAGCAGCACTGGCGCCACAAGGAACCAACATTCTGACCATGTTGATGCTGATTTTAAAATTATTGTACTGCTTTCACTGGCTTTCAAATCACTGAATCACAGGTGAGGTCACTCCTGGCAAGGCAGCTATCCCCAGTAAAAGCACTAGAAAGCCCATATAAAAAGATCAATGCCTTTTATGTCTTACTATGATTTATACTTCAGACCATGTAACTTTTACAGTGCTGCCTAGTATGTGATGGATGCAGCTCTCTTAACAACCCACATATTTATCTGATTTACTGTGTTGGTCCAACGTGTTATTTTCTACCTTGCAAGAACAACCTTGCTTCTAGGAATCTGCCTGCATGATAAGATTGTGAACTAAATGTGCAGTTATTGTAAGAGACCACACATTTTACAGTAAAATTGAGAAAATGGATTATAGCAATCCCTCTGGAAACAAGAATAATCACATGATAAGACAGTGCTAATGGGAATTTATCATCTCTCATCACGTGTGAAGCTTAGAACAAAGCAGCAACGTGTGTGAACTGCATAGCTATTAATGCCAATGAATACCAGCTGAAGAGCTGCTGGGGACTATGAAGAAATGAAAGGAGGGAATCTGAACAGCCAGCCTAAGCCAATTCGGTATGCTTCAACCAGCTTACACACAGAGATATATATATATAACATTTGTAAATGTTACCCAAAATAACAGCCTTACATCTATCCATACATCCCATTCTCTCTCTACCCACATTATTTCATTCAAACTCCATGTCATTCTTTTATTTGTTCTCACTGTATTTTAGCACTGGAGAAGTCCAAGATCATGAGTATCTGAAGGGTATGTGCCTCTGCATCTACACAGGCTGCCTCATGCACAGATTATTCCTAAACCACATATTTAAGATCTGAAACACATTTCTCTTTCTCCCACACAAAAGGCACCAAAACCCTACCCACGCTGTTTTCTATTTGAAGAAAATAACACTTGACTAAACTTTACATTTTTAAAGTTGTCTTGGGGAAATGAGTGCCAAAAACCCAAAGTGAAATGCACATAGTTTTAACATGAATGATACATCTACATCTCTTAGGTATCCTAAAATTACTCTGCATCATGCCCCATATAACATATGAAAACCCAACAGATTAATGGTAGATGGTGAACTCCTATGTTCTAGTGAATAATGGGTACATTTGCTGATTATCATATTTTCCAGTGCCCTGTTTCATAAACTGAAGCTTGGATTTTCAGAAGAGACTTTTCTCTTTTCTAAATGAGAATAAAAAGAGATGGTTACAGGTAGGTGGCAGGACAAGATGAGAGAAGAATCCTACATAAGTACCTGTATGAGTCCTCTGGTGAGCCTTTAAGTGGGAGCTCTTTGTATAAACTTTCCGGCACCCATTAAATTGACAGCGATGAACCCTCTTCTTGTTTTCTGGGGATGCTTCTGTCCCTGTACCTCCTTGCTCACTGTCACTTTGCCCACTTTTTATTGTCCCCGCAGTCGCTGTTGCTACACCCACTTTCACAGAGCTGAGTGAAGTTTTCTTGGCTACCAGTTTCAACGTCACTGTGCCATCCACTGCTGAGAGAGTCTGTGGGGTTTTTACGAGGTGGCGGCTGAGCTCCGGAGAGGAAGGGGGAGTTAATGAGGTTACTGCATTGAGCTGGGCCTGGTTGACAGCTGTGTAGCCTTCTGTGGGAGAGCTGGTGGACTGCGAGCTGAGGCACGTCTCAGACAGCAGCTTGTCACGGGAGAGGATAATGTCCATGTTGGCGCTTTTGTCACATGTACTCGTCTCCACTGGTAAAAGGATGGGGTCCAGCCGTCGTATATTGTCCTCTGCATCTGGGGCTGAGGAGGCATGAAGGAAGCAGTCCAAATCTTCACCAAAGGTCTCAGAGATCTTGCGTGGTTCAGTCTGAAGGTATCGCTCCAACTCCAGGCATGTCTGCAGAAGGGAAAGGGAGAGGGGAGGGAGAGAAATCGCTGTTAGAAAGAGATTACAGCATAGCTGCCACCGAGGGGAGGAGAACATGGTCCAGAGGCATTCCAAGACAGCATTCATCAAAACTAACATCTTCTGGTGAGATAGTCACATATTGGGAGACATGAAGATTTGGCATTTGTTTGAGGCTTCTCAGAAATAGTCTGGGAATACCCACATATGGCAGCAGGTATTATACTAGAAGTGAAGATACAACAGCCACAAAGTATCCTCTATATTTTCATTAACGTCTGTATGTTGTTCCGTGGGCACCAGGGCCTTCCCAACTTAAAGTATAATCTGTCACTTCCGTATGAAACTATCCTAACAGACTCATCATTTGGCCATACAAACAAGTCACCTCTCCAAATAACTGCTTCCTCTTCCTTCACAAACATTAACTTTCTCTCCAAATTTAACTCGGTGTAGTTGTCTGGGGCCTAATCTTCCTTAAAGAACACAATTCTGAAGTGTGGCATTTTAAGATAGGAGGTAGAAAAGGTTCCAGTGAGACCACAGCTTGTTTAAAGGGCCTGAGAGAAGGAAAGGTGACAAAAAAAATCCCTATCTACTGTCAGTTTTAGAGGGAGTTTTGGCACATCTGGTCCTGTGTACAAGATGCCAAACTTGCACACAAACACACACTCACTCCTTTATTAAAAAGTAGATGAAGTTGCAGTCAAAGAGGCTGCCACATAAAAATGTGCTCCTGCACCTCCACAGCAGTGATCATCAGCACAAGGATGGGATGAGCCTCCTACATGAATGTGCCTTATTATGAAGTGTCCTGAGCTTGCCCCAATAAAGCCTTCAGCCACCAAAGCACTGTCCCAGTGTCCTCCAGAGCTAACATTAAAAACTTTTATTGTTTACAGAGAACCATTTGCTGTAGTTTCAGGAGCTTTTAATGGAGTTTATTAGCACTGTTTTTCATTTCTTGCGGCTTGAAAAGATAGCTGGTTTAATACCACCACTGTGATTTCACAGGGCTTGGAGAAAGAGACATTCTAACTAATACATTTTAGAAACCTCTAAAAACTATGCCTCAGAGAACACTTCTACCAATATTAAGAAAAGGGTTTTAGTCAAAAAATTTTATTCTATGGGAGCTGGTGACCCAACTACATCTCAATCTGGAGAATCCAGCATCTGATCAAGAAATAAAAGCTTCATATGACCAGAGAAGAGATAGAGACTTCTGCCTTCTTAGTACAAAGGTCCCATCAACAGGAATGTAAGGAGGCCCCACTGATGGCTCTCTAGGAACTGCCAGGTAATTTGAGATTATTACTTTCAAAACTCCCACAAAGCAGCACTGTTGGTTGCAGATACAATGTGATGGGATGACTTTCAAGTTCACCATAAAATCTGCCACACTGTTGTTTCTTTTCTAAATAATAGCTGATTATAGATCTGAGCTGTAGAGATGGACAAAAAGCCAACAGAACAGAATATATGCAGGTGAGACATGCTATACTTCAGCATGTATATTATATTCAGAGGTATGAGACTGTCTGTACACAGGCCTGGGCATGGGACACATCATTTGTACTTGCCTTAAGCAACCTTTCCATTTTCTTTACAAGGTTGCTTTCTGGGACTACGAGAAACAGCTTTAGCTGGGAGTTTGATCTCTCCCCAGATAAATCCTAATGGGTTTCAGGAGAAGCTTTCCAACATGCCACATAGTCTTCCAGTAATAACCCCCACCACCAGGAGAGGCCATGCTTTTGAGTTCTTCACATCATGTCATTTGGGCTTTCTGGTCCACTTAGCCTTCATCCAATGGGGCAGTAACAGGTTTAAAGGCCAAATAAATAAAAGGCTTCCAAAGGAAAGAGCAAACATAATCACAAATTAGGGGTGGAAAGGGGGAGGGCAGCAGTAGGGAGAAGAGACAAGGACTCAAGGCCATTAAATCTGATGACAGTGACATGAAATTTCAATCGCTGTGGGTTCAGAAAGCTGCATGCCAGCTCTGGGCTGCCCATGGAGGGGAGGCAAGCAGGAGGTGCTGCTCCTTTAAGGCATCACTACCCCATGACAACAATAGTGGGCCTGACAGTTTTTCCAGCTTCACCATTAATTTTCCATAAAGAGCGGTTTCTCGATGAGCCCTTTTCAGGCAAAGCCTGATGCTTCACAAACCTGTAATTATTCCTGGCTCCCCCCTCCCGCAGCCACTGCACCTGTGCCATTTCAAGACACCAGCTGGTCATGTCTTGCCTTCTGCCTCTGAAATCCAAAACCAGTGGATCAAGCCCATCTCCCCACAGAAAGGGGGACAAAAACAACTCAAAGAAACAATGTAATGCAGTCCCTCCCACCCACCCCCCTCAGCCTCTCCACCAAGTCAATAGCAGGGAAGAGCCTAGCAACTGCTGAGCCAGAAAAGCCCTGTACCTAATCTGCATGGCAGACAAAGCCTGGCGAGAGGTTATGGCCACAGCCCTTCCTTCCCTTACCTCCCACCAGGGCCCTACCTGCTGCTGCACCTTTTTTTTGGTGGCAGAAACAAAGAACCTTTCCCCATATGCACTTCCCAGCTTATTCCAAGTACCTTATGCGACCTTCTCTTCTTGTGGTCCCAATCTCCCAGGGAGTGGTGAGGAAGGGTTTAGAAATCATCCTGTTTTCTTCACTCCTTGTCCAGCGTGACAATTTTTAGGCCAACTTAGCCCACCTTGTCTTGAACACTGACCTAGAGAAACCAGTCAGGCTGAGACCACCAAGGTCCCCACTCCAGGCTGGTAGACCACCAGGAGGGGCAGAAAAGTTCTTTGGTCTCCATTCCCACAAAGCTATTTGCCATTGAGCACATCAAAACCTACT